AATCATAGTTGAAATACAGAATTGTAAAGTTCAAATACTTTTGAATGAACATATTCCCACTTACCATTATCACATCTACATAATTCCATATGGGTCAAAATGAAAAGATTTAAAATCCTGAACATCACACACACATGGATACTGCTCTTTAGTGGTTGACTAGTTTGTAAACTCATAAGGGTATTTCCTTTGATAAATGACAGCAAAAACTGTATTACTTTAAAAGTTTTAACTCTCTGTCCCTTTTGAGGTTTGTATTTTTTTTGTATTCCATTTTAAATTTAGAGCTTTAGATGAAAGGAATAGTTTTCAGAATATAATTGTAAATGCTATGAACTTAGATTCAGAATTTGGGTGTTACTTTTGAATGTAAAACAGATACAAATTAGGATGTTCATGAAGCAAGTCCAGTTAACATTACCAAACAGTGCACTGGATAATGCATTGTGCACTGTAATATTGGTTTACATGATAAACCTAAAGTGATCCTTCTTTCTTATGTAATTATTTGCAGTAAACTTATGAGTTATATAACAATTTAAAAATGAATTATAAAAGTTTGTGTTAATTAGTCTAGACTTTTATATGTCAAAAGTTTTAAAACCAATACATACTGTAGAACTGTTGCTTTATTGGTATTTTTATGGCACAAGATGGTAATATTTTTCATCACAGCATTATCTGAAACCCTATTCCATCCATTACTAGGTTAAAATTGTCTTTTATTACTGATATATTGCACCGTTTGTGTTAAGTAACTTGGGGATTAAAGTAGTGAAAATGAAGAAAATGTTCATGGTTTGAATGTAAAGGCTATACTGTTAACAAATATTTCCATAGTTCTAAACCATTACTTAATTCTCTTTCATACATATAGCTGATAATTTACTCTAAAATAAAGCTTACTGTTATTATATTTGTGAAAACAGTGGGAAAAAATTTCTTATTTCTACATTTAGACTGCTAAATGATTATTGGGGTCAAACATTACAAAATTATTTTGGTCTATAATTCCCATATATTTTCATCAATTCAAATGAGACTTGGTATACTTTGTGACAATCCCCACAGACTTGTGCCTTTCTTTTGATTTTACAGGGGTCATAGGTTAAAAAACTGAATTAGGGTTTTTTGGCCTACTCTTTCTCTCTATTTTTGACCAGTCTAGAAGAGACTTTGTACAAAGATACCTTACCATATCTCCCCAGACTAAAGTGAATACATTTTGGGTTTTTGCCTTTCTTTTGATATTACAGGGTCAAACATAAATATATACATATACAAATTGAAATGTTTGTATTAGAGAGCTCTGAATCTAGAGACATTGTTTGCATATGTTGATGTTACAAGAGGTTGTTATTTTACTTCTCCTTTCCATGATGCTTCTGTGTATATATATTTAGTATTTTGATTAACACAGTGCATGAAATTGCATGTACTGTGTTGAAGAATGGGTCTTATTTACCCAAAAATTGCCCTTAATGTTTTTCATCATAGATAGTTATTTACACAAAAACTGACTCTCATGTGTATTATAAGGTCACTAGTTAGTATGCTTCAGTATATCTTTCTCACAAAGTTTATGCTATGTTAAGTGTTTATACCTCTGAAGTGTATATTTTTTAATGTATGTTCCCTTATCCAGTCTTGAATATCATTCTATCTTGAAATATCTGAGGATTCTATCATATAAAAGTGGGTGGTAGGGGGGAGACGTATTGCATTTGTTTGTGAATGTTGACCTTTTTAGTTTGTTATTTTGGGATAAATGTATACTATAAATATATATGTACCCATAAAAAGTACAGTCATCTTTTGATATCTCTATTCACTATTCATATTTCATAGTAAAAGTTAGCTATATAAAAACAAATAATTAATAATAATTCAGAATCATGCAAGTAAAATGGAATTTAACTATTCAGTCCTATCAAAAGGAACATTTAAAAAAACTCAAGTAATATTTAACTGTGAAAAATATTTTCTAGCAAAAAAATACAAAATAAATATCAACCTGGCAAATTTCCACACAAATATTTCTAACTTAGTAATAAAACAAAGGTGAAAGTTGTTTCTTCTTGAAATGAAATAACTGTTAATGATTACATTATAAAGGTTAATTATATAATGAAATATCAGATGTTTATGAATTCTGTTCCAAATTTTAAATGCTGAAGAATAACACAAGTTTTTAAAATTATTAAACAACTGTATACTACATGTAGCATTATAATATTGAACTGATAAGTCACATGCACACAAGGGCCATGATGTTGAGTTATTCATTACTTTTTTGCTATTGATATCCATTATTACAGCATTGCCAAAAACCTGTGAATTTCTTTAAGAAAGTTATATAATAACACATAACTAATTTCAGCATTTTTAACCTACCCATTATATTTTTTATATTAATCATTTACGAAACTAAATGAAGGTTACCCGAACAACTACAGTTGAAATGAAACAATATGTGCGTTGTTACCCAGTTGGTCTTATGAGCTGTAATACTGAGTGAAAAGTCATCTTATTTGCTGTGTGTTACAAAGAAGATGGCTTTTCACTCAATATTTTATAGTCAATATTTTGTTGTCCACTTACTGTAAGTCTGTATTAGGCCAGTAAAGAATTAAGTTATTTGAATTAATTTCAGTCTTACTGTGACATATCATGCACATTTTACTGGTAGATTAAAACATAGAGATATTTTAGACCAAAAAGTACCAATACAATGTGTATAACAAGGTCATTTTCCAATTTCAAGTACGATCATAACATGGATCATATGCTTGATGATTATAATCAAAATTGGATAATAAATAAAAGAACTACAAGAAAGCTATTAAATAAAACTTGTACAATATTTTTTGGATAATTTGAAAACATTTTTATTTTATCTGTTTACTTTGTTTAAGTACCATTTTAAGGAAGTTAGAAGTGGTGTAGTAAACTAATAGTTATTTTGTAATATAGGCTTATCAAAGAAGTTTTTACTAATATCTGTGAAATTTGTAAACATATTGTACTTTAATATTGACTTCTTAAATAGATGTGTAATCTTAGGAACTACATGCTGTAAAGGCATCACATTTTCTTATCTCTATTTTGCAAATATTTTCATTCAACTTCAGAAGTTAAAAATTTTTTACGTGTTATCTTTTTTGTGTTTGATACATGCTTGGTAATTAATGGGTTTGGTAATTATAGCTAAGTTATTTTATCATAACTTTTAATGTTGTGCATTATACATTATAATGATTCTGTTATGATCCATCAAGACCAAAATTATTTCAGTGTAACTTACTTAAATTTATGAAGAAAAAAAAACTTTTACCCTTTTTAATAATTATTCTTAAATACAGAAGAAATATATTTTTTGTTTACAACAGCTTTGAAAATTAAATGTTACTGTTGTCAAGGTTCTAGGAATGGAATCACAATATTAAAAGTAATTATGGGTTTAATTGTTTTGGGTGAAACTATGTCCAACTTTCCACAATTTTATGTCTTGTATACAGTGTCCAGTTATCGAAAAAATATCAATGGAACAGGTCATCATTAAGGCTGTGTAAAGAAACTTCATTATGTAATATCTAGCTACATTTAAGAACAATTTTATCACTGAACTTGCACATACAGTAGGTGTGAGTCAAAAAACATTGTGTGTGTGTTGTATGCACTCATTCGTACACACATACACAATACATATATTTATATCCATCTAGGTAATAATTAAACTTTTAATGCTGTACGTAGTTTGAAGATAGTTTATTTGCTTAATATGATTCAAAATCAAGACTAGTATACTTTCAAGTTATGTATTTTCATAAAAAAAACAACGTGAAAATAAGTTAGAATTGTTTTCCACTCTCCAATAAGTTAACTTATTGTTTCGTTGTATATTGTATTTTATAGGTGTGCGTTTAAGAAATCGGACATTTTTGAAATAATGCAACTGTAAATACAGTTTGTGTTTGTTCTACAAGTGCAGTGCTTTCGACCACGTGGCAGAAACGCTTTGGAAAGTGGCGCGTTGTTGTAAAAAAAAAATAAATAAAATCTAGAGGTGGTGTCGTTGATTGGTTGTATTCTTGTAGGCACGTCAAACTGGAGCCAATTACATTAGACGTTATCACAGGGTGTGCAGCCCTCGTATAAAAAGACGCGATATGCCAGTGCAGACAGGAGTGTCATGTCGTTTAGTCTGTTAAGCACCAGGAATGATTAGGGGAATACTCGAATTTTATTAATTATAAAAAAATCGAATTAGCAGTTGTACCGAAAATGAAACATATTTAGTACAACAGTCGTCTGATTGTTTCCTTTGTATAATGTGTAGTTTCCTCTTTTTTTTTCTTCTTTTTTTTACCGAGTATTTTGTATAATTAATTTTGTTTATATTTCTTGGTAGTGTAAATGGTAATTTTTATTAATGAAACTTTTAATGCTGACTAGTATACTTTCAAGTTGTGTATTTTTATAAAAACAACGTGAAATTAAGTTAGAATTGTTTCCCTCTTCAAAAAGTTAATAACCTATTGTTTCATTGTCTATTGTCAGTGTGCGTTTAAGAAATCGGGCATTTTTGAAATAAAGATATAGTTATATCAAGAAACTGAAGAAGGGGGATACGGTTGACATTTTTAGTAGCGGTAAAATGTTAATATTTAAGTGAAGGATCAGCAGTAATAGTTTCAACCTTAAACAGTACTGTATGTAATGAGTTTCTTATGCCAGCCTAGACTGCACTTGTGCTTATAGCCTACAGGAAGGCCTTGCAAAGAAAATCTTGTTGCTTACGTCGCATTTTGAGATGAGTAGAATAATCAGATGTTCAGGTGAGAGTCGTCACGGTTGCTATAGCAACGCACGACTTTGACGACATCATAATGATGTATTCTCTTGTCCAAGTACCACGACCTATCTATGTAAAGGTTCATGTCTTTGTCACGTGAGCAGAGGCTCCATGAACATTTTTCTTCTGGCGCAGTGTTCGCATGGCACGTGGAGTTTTAGAATCGACGCCTTGAAATAACTACGGTAGAAGCGTTGCGGCTGTATTGTTTGTCGTATTGGTGGACTAGTTTAAACCGTATTACGATACTCCCTACCGTAGAGTTTACGGTGTGAAGAGTCGAGAGTAGGTTGGTGTTTTTGTCACATATTTACCTTCTTACTGCAGTTCCATATTTGTTGTTAACAATTCGTGAAAACATAGAGAAATAATTTAAAACAAGCGTGACCAATAGGGCTGAAAATCGTTGAATTTTTTCAGAATGTGAAACGATATGTTGTGGCTTAGTTGATTCGTTAGTTCTGTGTGAATTAGAAGCCATATGGCAAACACTGAAAAGGTTAGTGTGAGTAGACTAAAAGAGAACGCTTCCGGTCCATCAATACCACCACCACCCCCTTTTCTCTCTCTCTCTCTCTGTGTACTCACTAAACATGCTTGCGCCGTTGTTGATTTGGGCCTTCCAGACTCCCTAGGTGTTTAGGTTCAGGCGAAAAGCTAGTTTTGTGGAACCTAACATCTACTGTGAAACTATATATGTAAGAATTAGTTGTCACGTATGTTCAACCCCCAATCGAGGTATGCCTTTCGATTTTTTTGTGTCTACGTAGTCAATGCATGGTTTTGCGTTAAAGGCACTGTTACTAGCCAGAAGGTCGTGTTCGCGTAGAAAATTAACGACGATACATGTTTATCTTCTAGCCATGGTACAGTGTAGCCTATAAGTATATTTGATATTATAACAAATTAATTCATAAACGTTGTAGTTAAACGTTCAGGCATTTTTTGTTGTTGATGGTGATGAATTATGTTAACCTTTCTCTTTGGACTTGGCTCGTAAGTCTTAAGAAACCTCTACTCTAGTACTAGCCAAATTATCTAATATACCAGGGCTAGCAAGTCATACAACATTTTTTAAATTTATTGGACAAAATTAATTTTTTTAACGAACCAAAAAGGTTTTTTTTTATGTTTGTGTATAGATGTATTTAACGGTCCAATTTGTACGTTTTTTTTAACGTCGTGGGCTTTTTATTCACGGCCTAAATCACTGGTTCCTAAGGTGAAAATGTGTTACCTTATAGATTTTCATAAATCAAGCAGTGATGTAATGACTGTTTTTTGTCGTTCGGTAAATAACTTTATTGCTTGTTTTTTTTTATCGTTAAAGAAACCACATTACTTGAATTAAGATTGTTTAAATATCTTCTTTTTTTTAATATTCTAATTAAATTGATTGTTGTTAAAAAATCCAGGCACGTGGACAGCCTTTTTTGTACTATATGTATATGTCCATTAAATTGTATGAGAGTAGATACACACACAAATTATCATGTTAAGATGTACTGTGTATATGAATTTATATATACTATTATATGTAGATGTTTAAATTAACAGTGCTTTCTAAAAATCGGAGCAACTGTACATGGGTGCAAAAAATATTTGACGGAAATTCTGGCCGAGATGCATTGTTTGTTATATATACACAGTAATGTATTCGGATTACTCATCTACCTGGCTCAAAGCCAGGTCCAATAAGTCCAACTGAAGTTGACGCTATTTGTATTCGATATAATCACATGTTACAGGACATTAAAATCGTGATCGAGAATATCGTATTTTTTGTCCGTCATCTGAACAGCAGTATTTAAAATACCATTTCTAAAATAGTAAACTGAAAAGAATGTAGTCACATTTGTTGTTATGCAGTGATTTTGGGTCACGTCGGCCATCTTGGGCACGACGACTGTAACTATCTATTCCGTAACATGTTGATATCATTAAGCAGATTAGTTTTATCTTCTAAAAAAATCATTAGTTAAAAAATTAATAAAGTAAACGTTTGTGAACAAGCATCGATTTTCTCAAACTTACACTATCAAATTCGGTGAAAAACAAAATCCAGTGAATTCGTCGTTTGTTTGTTTTTCTTAAAGTATAGTTTTGAATTTGCTCATTTCGAAGTCTTTGTGAATTTTAGCCGCCATAAAGTCAACCATAAGGAGCTTATAGCTGGTTAATTAATATATTTATTCAATGTGATTACAGCTGTGATGAATAAGAGATGAGCAATTGAAAACCGAGCTAGTGACGTTTTTTAAAATTTTGAAACAATACACTGACGTATTTCTGTGAATTTTCACATCATATTTACCAGAATCACCGACTTTACTACTATCATTAATATCTGCTAAAAGAGTTGTTGATTAAGTTTCCAGCAAAATAACCGTTCATGGAAACAAAGTTGTACTCTCCAAGGAAACTTTTTGTATTTTTGTGTTTGGTTGTTTAACAACAGCTGAAAAATAATATTTTTCATGACGTTGAACCGTGGCGTATAAAAAGTTTGCGAGAGTGCTTTTGGAAGGTAGAAGCAGAAAGCTTTCACATGTACATCACGTTTAAATAAATATAGGTCTTATGAAATTTGAAATATCATATGAAGATTTTATTATATCGAAATTGAGCGAGATACGCTGTATCATGTAAATTTCATCTTCTGGGGATGGGCGTTATTTTAGTAATTCTTGATAACTTAGTACAGTACACAGTTTAAAGTTGTCTGTGGTAAGAATATGCTGCTAACGGGAAATTACATATAGAGAGAAAAATCAGATTTAGAAGCATATTCTTATATTGAAGAACGTTTCGGGTTTGCTGTTATCCTCCTTTTTCAATAAAAGTTGTAGTATTCATGATAACTCGAACTAATACAAATAATTTTGTAAATTACTTAGAATTGTTGAGGTTTCTGGAAAATATTTGCGAGTAAAGTATTGAGATCTTAATACCATACAGTTCTTATTATTGCTTTTTTTTTTTAACCAGGACTGCCTCTGCTGTGCCTACTGCAAAGATCGTACGCAGAATTTTAACGTTAAAATCTCAAGCTTACCGCTAAGCCTCTGGTATGAGGAAATCGTTTACAAAGAGAGATCATAACCCTGAAAGTGAAAATAAGATAACGTGGTAATACGAGGTTCAGTTTGACTAGAAAATCCGTAAAAATGACCAACATTCTCGATAGGTAAGAAAGTGAAATTTAAAGACGGACTGAATATTAAGAACGGATTTTTATACCCATTTGATCCTGAAACTAGAATTCAGTAGAGAGTACGTAAGTGTCGGAATGTACATTTGTATAGCACTTCACAACACTTTGAAAAATAGCTAGAGCAATGGAATTCCGTTAGTTGTGTTTGGTGAACACTTATGGACAAGTTCTCGTGTTAATATAAAATTAGAAATGTGATCGGTTTAGTTGGTGATATTCAGTGTAATCTGGAAACTGAAAAGTTTGGAGAATTGCTGCAACTGTATGAATAATACGATGACCGTTTAGTTGGTGATATTCAGTGTAATCTGGAAACTGAAAAGTTTGGAGAATTGCTGCAACTGTATGAATAATACGATGACCGTTTAGTTGGTGATATTCAGTGTAATCTGGAAAC